CAAAACCCATCCTTCCCACCACCGATGAAGCTTCTTGCATGACAAGTAAAACGTTGTTTTCTTCCTCAAAGAAAAAAACAGTCCACTTGCCTTTTGGGCGTGGGGTGGGTGGGTGGGGAGCCGAGGTGGTATTCAGCAGGTTCTGACCAGTTCTGGAGAACCGGTAGCGGACATTTTGAGTATTTTGGAGAAGCGGTAAATACCACCTCTGGCTGGCCGCGCCCCCATCTATTCTCTGCCTCCTGAGTCCCAGCTGATCAGGAGGGAATGTGGATTTTGCAGTATCCTTCCCCTGCCACGCTCACCAAGCCACGCCACGCCCATCAAACCCCACCCACAGAACCGGTACTAAAAATTTTTGAATCCCACCACTGGTGGGGAAGCACCATTGAGAAGCGCCATGGCAGGAGTAATTCCGTCCTTTCACTTCCACTGTGTCTAGGAACTTACGGTGCTTTGCCACCTTCACCATCCCAGCCTGGTGTTCCTGATGGCTGCGGCTGTGCGTCCCCGGATGCTAGTCATGGAATTAGCCCCCAAGGGGTCTCTGGATCGGTTGCTGCAGCAGGAGAACGCAGGCCTAACCAGAACCTTACAGCACAGGATAGCTCTGCATGTGGCAGATGGCTTGAGGTAAACAAAAAACAAAAACAATAAGCCCCTCCCTTTTCCAGTATGTATGTATGTATATGTATGTATGTATGTATGTATGAATGAATGAATACGTGTGTATGTATCTATATCTATATGACCAATAGCACTAGCAGTAGTATTTAACTTATATCCCGCTTCACAGTGCTTTACAGCCCTCTCTATAAGCTGTTTACAGAGTCAGCCTCTTGCCCCCAACAATCTGGGTCCTCATTTTACCCACCTTGGAAGGACGGAAGGCTGAGTCAACCTTGAGCTGGTCAGGATCGAACTCCTGACAGTGGGCAGAATTAACCTGCAATCCTGCCTTCTTCTAACCACTGCCCCACCAGGAAGAAGAATGAGAAAAGGGAATAATAGAGGAAGGGGGAAGGGTGGAGGAAGGAAAGAAAGAAAGGAAAGAAGGAAGGAAGGAAGGAAGAAGGAAGGAAGAAAAAAGAAAGAAAGAGGGAGGAGGTAATAAAAATAGCACTTAGACTTATATACCGCTTCACAGTGCTTTACAGTCCTCTCTAAGCAGTTTACAGAGTCAGCCTCTTGTCCCCCAACAATCTGGGTCCTCATTTTACCCACCTCGGAAGGATGGAAGGCTGAGTCAACCTTGAGCCGGTCATGATTGAACTCTTGGCAGTGGGCAGAGTCAACCTACACTACAGCATTCTAATGACTGCGCCATCATGGCTCACCAATCATGGTAACGTGAAGACTTGTAGCCTTCAATTCCCAGAATTCATGAGCGGCTGGGGAATTCTGAGAGTTGAAGTCCACAAGTCTTCCATTTGCCAAAGTTGGCCCCCTCCTGCTCTAAATCTTTGGGATATAAGCACCCATCATATGTACATGATGTTATTTCTATCCCTCTCTTGTGCGTCTCTCTCTTTCTTTTTCATACCAGGTATCTACATTCTTCCATGATCATCTATCGCGACTTAAAGCCTCACAACGTCTTGCTCTTCACGCTTTATCCCAATTCAGCGGTCATCGCCAAGATTGCCGATTACGGCATTTCCCAATATTGTTGCCGAATGGGAATAAAAACCTCCGAAGGCACACCAGGTATCAACAACGTAGCACCTCCTACATCTGGGTAACGAGGGCTTTCCGAGGTACTCAGATGAAATTGAAAGTGGAGTCCGAGGTGGGTTGCTCCTGGTTCGGCCTGGATCAGGCAAACCGGTAGCGACCCTCCCACCCGGGCGCTTCTGCTCATGCACATAAGTTTATGCGCATGCGCAGAAGCATTGCATGCACGCACAACCACAAGAGAACCGGTAGCGCCGGGATTTACAACCCACCTCTCAGTTGGATACACATCAACAGATTCCTTGGTGTGACTCCTGAACAGAAACACAATGAGCCGTTAATCATCCTGGCCCGGTCCTTTAATGAATTATTTAGCCCCGGCGTCCCCAATTAGAGGTGGTATTTATTTATTTTTTTATTTTATTTTATTTTATTTTATCAATTTCATATATACATTCNCTAATAATTTGACCATTCTATAGGCATTTATAGTTATTGACTTGCCTCCTTGCAGCAAACAGCAAACAGCCAGTTTCAGTTTCAGCACAGCCTGATTCGCACAAGCAGTTGACAGTCAGGCCTCCCAACCATCAGCTGTTTCAGGATGTGATCCCACGGGCCTTGAGTTTGACACCCCTGTCATAGACCCATGTTTCTCAACCATAGCAACTTTAAGACAGATGGACTTCAACTCCCAGAATTCTCCATGGCTAGCTGGAGAATTCTGGGAGTTGAAGTCTGCCTGTCCTAAAGTTGTCAAGATTAACACTGCCCTAGATGTTTTAATTCAAGGATCCTCAATGCCCAGCCACGGCCTGGTACTGGACCGCAGCCTGTTTGGAACTGGGTTGCACAAGCGGGGTGACGAGCGTACTCGCATACGCAGCGCCCCTTCTGCAAATGGCAGGCACGCACATGAGTGTGGGAAGCTCCATTTGTGCACGCGGTGAGCATACATGCTCGCTGCTTGTGCAAACGGAACTAGGTGTGCGAGCATGCTCGCCGGCTGCTTTCACGGAACTATCCCCTCTCCCTCCACCCCTTGTGGTCACCACCGGTCCACACAACCAGGGGACCGCTGCTTTAAAGAATGAAGCCGTTGTAGTTCAAAGCCGTTGAGTTACGATTCTTATTTCTGTTTTTATTTTCATGAATTCGCAGTTTCTTCTTTTCTTTCTTCTTTTCTCTCCCCTTGCTCTCTTTTCCCAGGACGTTGAAGATATTAGGATCCTGTGCTTGGCCTTGGTGACACTTTCTGCCGAGAAGGAGAACTGGGTGATTGCAGGGACCCAATCAGGATCCCTCTGGGCCTTTCACACCCAAGATGGAGCATGCAGGCATCGGTTTCACATAATGACAGATTCGGTCACCTGCCTTTACTGCAGTCCCTTGCAAAAGCATAAGTACGTGTCAGGCACAAAATATTAGGTCCCTTTGTGAAGGTCTAAATTAAATTGATTTATTGCTAAAAACCCTACGAATCCTCCCAACTAACAGCACCTAGTTAGATGAGATTCCTTATCTAGAGTTAGATAAGGAATTCAAAGTGGGTTGGGCCTAGTTTGCTTGTGACTACGTAGGGATTCTAGGCTAATTCCTCTTTTGACTCCACCCCCAAATTCTACCACTCCTTCTCCCACAAGATGACTGAATTTGGATGCCATTCCATACCGCACATTGCTTCAAAATGGCCTTAAGGATACAGAAGTGTTGATTTTTTTTTTAAGGAAACGACTTAGTTATTCATCCGTATTTAGACATTATTGTATGTTTTGAAGCACCGCGTGACCGGAATTATTGCTGACTTTCGGCACAGGGCTAATTGTGGGGCAATTTTGAGGTTGAAATCAGCGGTGGGTTCCTGCCAGCATTACTATCGGTTCAGTACCCCTCAAAAATTTTGCGGGAGTGCGCAAAAACTTCGCTTGCGCGCATGCCGAACCCACGCTCTGCGTCCATGTGTGTTTGCAATTAAAAAGGTCTGTGCATGCGCGCACCGTTAAAAAAAGGAAAAAATACATTTTTTTCAATGAAGATAATGAAATAAAAATGGTGGCACCTGGAATGGACCTGGTACCATCACCTCTCCGGCTGACTTACTACCTATTTAGGCTGAACCAGTACAAACCGGTAGGAACCCAGCTCTGGTTGAAATATTTAGCTTGTTTTTTTTGGGCTGGCCATTTCAGTTTTTCTTATCTCCTGGGTTACACATTTTAACTGCATGGCTTCAATATTGCAAGTCTTATTTCATTCAATTCATTGAATGCACTGAAAGCGTTTAAATCGAATGCATTTTCTCCTTCGATTTCAGCAAGTACAAGAACGTCTTTTTGGTGGGTACAGCCAATGGACAGCTGGCCATCTTTGAAGACCGAGCAATCAAGGTACATATTCACTACAGTCTTCCAAGAGATATGTAATTAGTGGCAGACATGTTCGTAATAAACCCTACCTTTGCATTATTATAGAAAGTTTACGCTTTCTTAAATTTTGACCGATGCTATTCGAATAATAGCAGAAAGAGAGGGAGCACTAAGGCGAAGTGGAATTGAATAGATTGTCCTTGAATGGGTGGTTTTATGGATTTTCAATATTGCAGTTCCTTTTTAAAAAAGAAAATGTGGGCTATTTTTACAATAACGTTGCCTGCCATTAGAGACAACCAGAAAATCTTATTGTAGGACCACCACGTCAATTTAAGTTAGAAGTTTTGCTTAATTTCAGAAACTTTGACATCAGTATGACTTTAATAATGTCTTAATATTACACATTCTTTGTGTTACAATAAACTCACTGGAATAATTACAAGTCAGGCACAGCAAATATCCTGACCAGTGGTAGGATTCAGCCGGTTCGCACCTATCCAGGAGAACCAATTGTTAACTTTCTAAGCCGTTCGGAGAACCGGTAGTTGCTCCATCACTGGAGGCTTCTAAGATGATGTTGGATAACCATTTGCCCGGAATGACAGAAAGTCTTCTGCAGGGGCTTGGACTAGAAGACCCTCAAGGATCTTTGCAATTAATTATTCATATATTAACTGCAGCTAGAATTGTATTTGCACAATATTGGAAATGTGAAGAGATTCCTACCGAAGAGAAGGTGATTAGGAAAATATTAGAATGTGCAGAAATGAATAGACTAACATTGGCAATTAAGGAGAAAGAACAATCTGATTATTTTATGATATGGGAAGTGTTTTATCAATGGTTAGAGAATAAAAAAAAAGAAATTGGAAATAGAAATGAAGATGAAAAGAAGAATAGAAAATGTATTAAGATAGAGATAAGAATAAAATGACAATTGTTAGCATGAATACGATGAAAATAACTATAATCAATGTTATTATTGTGTATATATATATATATGTGTGTGTTTATATATATATATATATATATTAGAAGATATACTAGAAGACATGTTAAAAAGGAAATGAAGAGACTTACAAGATTTAATTGTATATTGTACCCTGTTTCCCTGAAAATAATGGTATAATGTATCCTGTTTAGAGCCGAGGTGGCACAGTGGTTAAATGCAGCACTGCAGNCCTTCCCTCCTTTCTTCTCTCCTTTCCCTTCTCTCCTTCCCCAGAGGTGGTATTTACTTACCGTATTTTTCAGCGTATAAGACACATCAAGATTTTGAAGAGGCAAATTTTAAAAAAGTTTTGGCACTCTGCAGACCTCCCAAAAACGGCTCATTTTTCACAAAAATGGGCCCGTTTTTTGTCAAAAAAAGGGGGTATGCATAACCTTTAGGAGGCTTCCAGAGTGCTGCTGGGGGCAAAAACGAGCTAAAACCGGCCCATGTTTCGCTCATTTTTGCCCTCCCCAGACTCCAGCAGCACTCTGGAAGCCTCCTAAAAACTATCCATGACCATTTTTGCAAAGGGGATGGAGTTTCGGGAGGCCAGAAATGCTATATTCAGTGCATAAGATGCACCCAGATTTTCACCCTCTTTTTTGAGGGAAAAAGGTGCGTCTTATACTCCAAAAAATATGGTACCTTCCGTACCAGTTTGCAAATGTGAGTGTGTGGTTCGCTTCACACTCATGTGCCACCTTCGCGCATGCGCTACGCCTTTCGTGCATGTACTTTGTGCTAAAAAAAAGGGGGGGCCTAAATGGGATGCCATAGAGCTGGGGAGGATGGATGGGGCTACCTGTGATTTCTGCTACCAGTTCAGGCGAACCGGTCCGAACCGGTAGAATACCATCTCTGTCCCCAATCCTTGCTCTGTGGATCATTACCATGTGGCATACCAGAAACTGCTCCACGAAAACAAGTGAAGCCCCATCCATGGGATGCAGGAAGCACACAAAACCACGCCTTCTCCATTCCACAAAAAAACTCTATCTCCACGGAAACCGGTCCCTGGTGACCAAATATTGAGGGCTACGGATTTAGCCAGTTATTTTCTTCATATTCTGATAGACTTCTATGTTAGGGCAGTATAGCAATCAAGGTCTAGATTCAGAAATATTAATGGAATGTGTAGCTTCTTGTTCCCATGGTGGCTTGTTGATTGTCTCTTTTGCACAGTATCAGAGGTAGTATTCAGCCAGTTCGGACCGGTTCGACCGAACCGGTAGCGGAAATCGTGAGTGGCCCCGCCCACCCACCCAGGCTCTACGGCATCCCATTTAAGCACTTTTTTTAACCAAAGCCTGAACGCAGGTATGGACACACACGCTCACATTTGCAAACTGGTAGGGCAGGTAAGTGAATACCAGTATGTAGCCATTGTTTACATCTCTGTGTCTGTTGATGTTACCAACATGCAAGGTTTCCCAATCAGTTGGCTATATTATGGAGAAAACAGATATTTGTTGTTATTAACTGGTCCCAACAGTTTTCTTTTTGTAATTACCTTCTGGAGAATTTATGTACCTTTCCCAGCATAAGTAATATTTTGATTTTCAAGGTTTATGTGTTCTGAATATCACTTAAGATTCTTTAATTAAAACAAGAACAGCATCTGTTAAAGTAACAATGAATGATTCGTGGATTTTTATATTTTTTTTAAAAGGATTTAGAGCCCCAGAAGTTGCAAGAGGAAATGTTATTTACAACCAGCAAGCTGATGTTTATTCATTTGGCTTGCTGCTGTATGACATTTTGACAGCTGGTGGAAGAATATTAGAGGGCATAAAATTTCCTAATGAATTTGATGAATTAGCTATCCATGGAAAACTGCCAGGTATGTTCCATTTTCTTTCTGCCTGGTTATTACACACTATACACTTGTATCTTTGTAATAATCTACATTATTTTAGTCTCTCCAGCAAATGTAAAAACAAAACTAGAAATATGTGATTTCTCAATCCTAATTTGGATATGTTTGAATTTCATTTGTTTTTTTTAAAAAATAAAGGCAATATAATACAAAAAACTACAAATGTGGATTGTAAGGAAAACTAGAATCTTATGCATTTTTTTAAAAAAATCC